AAAGAATATCATGAATTATTGCAAATAAAATGAAAAATGTTTTGAAAAGATTATCTGGCTAAAAAATGTATGCTAAAAATACTTAATTGGCTACCATTAAATAAATTTAATGTTTGTCACAACTTAATTTTCCATGTGATATGAAAAGAGACCCAGAAGTTTGGCAGGTGAGTGCTACTTAACTCTCATGGAACAGAATACCTTTGTTTATGAAGCATCTTATAAAACAAAGAAAAAAAGTCAACTTATTAATTTGATTTTGAAAATAAAATCCATATTTATAAAATTATTTATCAACTTCATTTATGCCACTAAAAACATTAAATTCCAATCTAGAAGAGTATTAAGTAATATGTTGTTACTAAGTTAAATTTATCATAAAAGTGAAAAGATGGTTCAGTGTTTCAAAATTTCTGTTGATGTGATTTACCACATGATGTGATTTACCACATAGCAAAGAACAAGAAACTGCCTGGTAAGGAAAAAGCATATAATAAAATTAAATTTTAAAACATTTAGTCAACACTTAGCATCCTTGATATAGAAGGTACTTTTTTTTAAGCTTGATAAAGGCTTTCCATTAAAAATCTGTAGGAGGCATAATTCTTAATGAAAAATAAAAGCAGAATTTTAACTCATTCCTTTAACATTTGGGAATAGCACGAGGATTCCTGCTTTACTTATCCTTGTCAACACATTATGAGTATCTGACCAATGCAATTAATAAAAGTATGAACAAAAATAGAAGAATTAAAACAAGAGATATACTTGTCATTATTTCTAAGTAAAATAATTTATATAGAAAACCAAAAAAGAATTAGCAGAAACTATTAGCAACAATACAAGATTTCAGCTATGTTGCCAGCTTACAAGAGCAACATAAAAATCAATAGCTTTCCTTTGTATAGAGAGTAACCAATTATAAAATATGATGATAAGATTCCATTTATAATAGTGTCATAAACTAAAAGGTGCCTAGGAATAAATGTAAGAGAGAATGCATAAAATACATAAGGTAAATTGAAATCTCTATTATAGGAGTTTTATTATGGTATTATAAAGCATAAATGCAGCATTCATAAGTCTATTGATTGAACATTGTGAAGATGTCTCCTTTCACCTGTTAAAATTCAGTGTAATTCCATCAACATCTGAGCAAGGTTGCCCCCTCATCTTATGAATAAAGTTTTATTGAGGCACAGCCACATTTATTCATTTATGTATTATTTTTGGCTACCTACATGCTTCAATAACAGCTTTGAGTAGTTACATCAGAGACTGAGTGGCCTGCTGAATCTGGCCACACTTGTTCTACAGCATGTGATGTACAAGCATAATATAATAAAAATGCATTCCTGTGTATATGTAGGAACTTTGTATAATCATTCCTGCAATTATTGTTGGGGAAATTGGCTAATAATAGGAGATAAACCATTTCCATATTTCGTTTCATAAAGAGCTCCAAGTGGATCAACCACTTGACAATTAGGAATGAAAATAGAAAGCTGATTGATGGAAATTCAGGAATATGATTTTTTAACCTTATGGTAGAGAAGAATTTGTTTTATAGATTCACAGAGGGCAATTTGCAAATACTGATAAATACATCATGAATACTTTATGTTGAATGGAAGGTATGATAGAAAAATCAACTGAGGGTGGAAATATAATTGGACAAAGATCAATATTTACAATATCCAAGAGACTCTGGAAAATCTGAAAAGGTTGGGAAGAAACTGATATAAGAAGACAAAGAATGAATTGGCTATTCATAGGAGGAGGAAACCATATACATGCACATACACACGTGTCACATCGAACATTGGACATAAGCAAATTCAAATTTACAGATATCTGTTTTACCTACAATAGGAAGAACTATGAAGTCAGATACTATGAAGTGCTGATGAGGATGTGGGAAAATAGAAATCTGCATGTTTTTCTTCTGGCAATGCAAATTGGTACATATATTGAACAAAATCTAAGTATATATAATCTGAAACTCAATAATGGAACTTTAGCATAGATATCCGGGAAAATGTACGTAAGGATAATCACCACAGTTTTACCTGTGATAAAAGGTTGGTGACAATGGGCCTCCCTGGTGGTGCAGCATTTGAGCACTGGGCTGCGAAGCTGCCCGAAGCCTCTGCAGCACTGGTTCCATCCACGGCCACTGGGTGTGGGTCCCACATGGCGTGCAGACCTCTCCTGCTGCCTGCTGCTCCCCTCAGCAGTGTACCTCGGTCCTTCTCCCTGTTCTGCTCTCGCTCTGGCTCTGTGAATTCTCTCACCCTCCTGCACTTCTGACTGTAACCAGTGCTTGTATAAATAAATAAATCAATCTTTAAAAAAATTAATAGTAATATAGAGAAATCCCATATATTTTTGACATAGTTATAAACAAACATGCAATGAAGATTCTAACTACTACATGGGCAATGGAAAATTGAAGTCTATGGTAGGGGAGACAGAAATAAGAATGGGCATAGAAGATGAAGGGGAAGGCCTCCCTGGTGGCACAAGGGGTTAATTCTCAGCACTATGAAGCTTTGGGCAGCCACTACAGCATGAGTTCGATCCCTAGCCAGGGAGCTGACCCATATGGTGCAGCAGACCTCTCCTGTCTCGCCTGCTGCTCCCCTCAGCAGTGTATTTCAGTCAATCTGCCTGTTCTGCTCCCCACTTTGTCTCTAGTGAATCCTCTCACCCCACCTCCCCTGTACCTCTGGCCTGCACCCCAGCTCTTGTATGCATAAATAAATGAAATAAATCTTTAAAAAGTTAAAAAAAGAAGATGAAGGGGAAAATGAATAAGAAGAACAATGAGAATCAAAGGAAGAGCATTTCATAAATGCATAATAGTAGCTCACCAACTAGAACCTATGCTTAAGATAATTATGAACAATTAAGGATAATCCTTAAGCAGAAACAAACTCTAGGGACATTATTCCTTACATCATTGTTAGATTCAAGTACTCGATGTTATTTTTGGGTCTCTGTATCTTGGCTCTGTTGGCCTTAGTATTGAGTCTAACATCTGGGAGATTCTTCTAAGTGCAACCTCTTGCTATTCCAGGTTCATGTCCCACTAGTTTGGCAACTCTGCAGAAAGTAGTCCATGGCTATTCTTACCTGTCAATGGCTCATTTTTCTCCTCTGTCCACTCCTAAACCAATTATGTGACAGTAGTCTAAGGATACCTAGTTCACTGTCCCATCCCTAGAACCAGGCAGTAGGAATAGCCATTCATATGGACTACAGTGGGGGTATTACTCATAGAAAATTCAAGGTGATATGGTCAGAACTACAAAAAGTTGATGCTGGCCAGGCAAAAAGCCACAGATAGCTGCAGGGAACTTGAATCTGCTGCTTATAGAATAATTGAAATGAATTGTCGTGTTTAGAAAAACTGGAGAAAATGAATAAAGGTTAACTCCAAATATCTGAAGCACTGACACTTGAATAATACTTGTTATATAGCCCCAAGCATAAATCCATGACAAATAGATGGATTTGGTATGAAAAGAATAAATATAAAATTGTAGAATTTAATTGTCTTAGCACTAATGGATAGTGAATTTCCCACAATAGGTATATTCAAGCATCGGCTAGCCAGCTATTTGGCAGAGATTCCAGTAGGAAAGTATACCTGGGTTTGATCTATGGTTCTGAATCACCCGGGCAGCTCATGCTGATATTGCTGGACCCTTTTCCCTGAGTTTCTGTTCAGTAGTAGATCTGCAATAGGAGGTGAATTTGCATTTATAAGTTCCTTGTGCTGTTGATGCTGCTGGCACAGGGGACATAACTCTGAGAACCACTGGGTTTTGATTTTTTAATATTCCTTTTGGTTTTTTATATTCTTACTAATAATTCATTTTATGACATAATTGTAAATATTCTAAAAATCAGTGTTTGTATCATCGAGATAGACCTTTCACATTAGCTGGAATGTGTTAAGTATTTGATAGTGGGGTGCTTCTTTAATAGAAGGCATTTGCATACTGCTCTGTATTTTGGGGGGTCATTGAGAACATTAGCATCAGTAAATAATTCTGCATTTATTGGTATGCTTTATAATGTAGCCAACCATTTCCCATTATCCTTTTCATAATCCTATTTATGTTTTCTCATGATCTATTTTCAGTGGTTTTGCGGTGGGATGGTCCCTGATTAGAAAAATAAAGTGGTTTTCCAAGGACGCTGTGTCTTAATCATTTAGATGTAACTTTGCCTTGTATAGCCCTCACACTGACATAAAGTATTCATTGATTCTGGGTGGATTTGGTTCATCCTAGATGCCTCTACCAAATCTCACTTTAACCCACCTCAGTGGCTTTCCCCAAAAGAGAGGAAAAAAGACATTTCACATACCTTGCTTCATCCGGGCTCTTCAACAGTGACACATTGTTCCCATGTTGAACTCTTATTTTGCCTCTTCCTTCTTTTTCTCAATTTTATTCTCTTTAATTTTGGAAACATTGATATAATAGTTCTCTGGGAAATCTCATATTTTTGTAACTGTAGTCAAGGCTCTTTCATCCTGTTTGTACTTTTTCTAAATTGCTTTTATATAAACAAATATATATTTGAGAAAAGCATTTAAGAATTGGAAGGTTTATAGTCAATCTTTTAAAAAAAATTCAGTTTAGCAAGCATGATAAAATAGATTAGTAAAAGTACCTGACAGGTCTGGGGGATTTGGTTTAAGATTGCCTCCTAAAGTGCTGAGGGATATAAAAAGGCTGTTTTGATCTCCACTTGCAAACTTCTCTTAAAAACACTAAATCTAATCAAGTCAAGGCTGGTAGAGAGGGTAGAATATTTAGGAACACTTAATTACTCACAGTAACTAGTGGACATTAAATGGGGAACAGCTTCAATTAAGAATTTGTAGTAATGGAATTTGCTTTTTTTTTTCTTCTTGCAGTTTGTGCTCTCATTCCTTATCTGAATTTTATAAATTAAGACTATTTCTAAATTGTCTTCTTTTTCAGACTTCCACTGTGAGAAGATGTCATTCAGATTCGGTCAACATCTCATCAAGCCCTCTGTGGTATTTCTCAAAACAGAGCTGTCCTTTGCCCTTGTGAACAGGAAGCCTGTGGTACCGGGACGTATCCTTTTTTTTCCCCACAAGAGGAAAAATAAAATCCATCTCAACCTAACAGACCAATGAATTCATGATTGGCTTCCACTATTGTCTGTCGAAAAAGGTAAGCAAGGAATCCACTTCTTCCCCTTTGGAGAAACCAGGTAAGATATTATATTTATTCTGAATCCAGTTGGTGGCACCAGTAATATGCTTGATCAATGTTGCAGAACTTCTGAAAAGAGTTGCTTAGCAACTGTGGCTTCAGAGGTGAATATTTGCTTGACCTTTTTACTATTGTATCTGTGTAAATAAATGTGCGTTTCTAAAATAGGTCCAATGAATATTGCAGGTACTTTGTTTTCAGTTACCCATTGTGAATTTTAATAGTAAGGTAGAGATTATATGCACTTTTGTCATGTGGAAGTTAGGTATTATCTGAGTATTTGAAAGTGACTTGATTTCTTTCTTTCTTGGAGATCATCCAAGCTGTGGGTTTTAATTAACTTCATTCACATAAATATACTTACAATTCATTTTATCATGTTAGGGTCTAAAATATCATTTTATCTTGGAAAACATGTCAGCTTCTAGATCATGGTCCTATGTGGTTGGCGGTAGAGTTGTTTTATTTCTCTCTGACCATCTGCTCTTTTTTCCTATTCGCTTCAACAGGAGCTTTATGCTATGTAGTAGGAGTAGCAGAAAGGAGTGGAAGCTCTGGAGAGTTTTGTTATGTTGTCAAAAATGACTATGTGTTAAGAATTTTGTACTGACTCTTCAGAGTTTCTTCTTCCCCCCACAACTTAGTTTACTATGCTGAGGGTAACAAAGTATAAAATTTCCTGTTTGAAAGTAATAATAATTTTCCACATTGAGGCATAATTTTACTTTGAAATAAATTTCTCAGTAATACTACAAATCTACAAATATGCCAGTAATTTTTTTCAGAGTAAGTTATGTTATTTTTTCCAGTGGAGTTTTTCATAGTGCTTGAGAACTTCATGAATAATCTTCTTTATTGGCCATGTAACCATTGTTCATTGGAAAAATACAAATAAGAAAAACACACATTAAAAGATAATTGTGAAAAAAAAAGATAATTGTGATTTTATGATACACCACCAAATTCCTTGAATGCAAATTTTAATTGAATAAATTTTATAAATTCACAAAACTAATGAACATTATAAAACTATTATATAATTTTGACAATATTTAAGTTTTTAATTTATAGCAATAAATCTAAAGTGTAAATATTCAATGTCACATATTATATTTTTCTGTTTATTGCAATAAAGTCAAAAAACTACTGCAATAATTTCAAAAGTTCCTATAAAATAGAAAAATGTAAATTGTATACCAATTTTATATAGAGTTCTAAAAGATCTTGAAGTTCTTGAAATAATTGATGCATTTTATTTTTTCATTTTGATTTGCTTTAGGTTTGTAGTTGTACTTTTCCTTTGAGGATTTTTCTTTAAGCAAAATGTCTGTGAGTTCAGGTGTCAAAAGAATATGGTTTAAATGTCATTTCTCTTTGAGTCGCAGCTTTAATTGACTTCTACCAAAGAACTGAGAGAACCTGGGGTGAATGTATAAATTTAGATGAACACACTTTAATGCCTTGGACTGAGAAAATGTGATTTCAGAGAGATGCACTGCCTTTTTAATGGTTAATGATGTAATTAAGGTTGCTTTGTAATTTTTTAACTTGTACCCTGATAGCAAAACATTTGATTGTTCCTGGCTTTCTTAACCAGCTCCGAAATTCTGATGTGTAACACCTGGGTCCTTCATTCGAGAAAAGTTGCTTCCAGGAAAATGTCTATACTCAATAGTGAGCTATTAGTGAATACTTTGTTTCAAATGGTACTGGAATTGCCATTTTGAAATTGGGTCCTGGTAAGTTGAGTAAATGCTGAAGAAATGGGTAACATTTTATAAAAATGAACAAACCTTAATTTATTTGGAAAGTTGCAAGAATAACTTGAACATTTCTGAGGAGGGGACTAGTGAAAACTGGAATATTTTTATGACCTGTATATTCTGTCAGGCTGTTTCATAGCTACAGTACTTAAAGTGGAATCAGGGGCAGTAGATAATGGATTCGGACAATTCTTTTATGTGATAATTTTGTAATGTTTTATTTTACTTTGCCTTTGTAAATTCTGTTAGGTTACAAATGTGAGAAGAATCTTAATATGTTACTCATTTGCTTGCAGAAAACATTAATCTTTTGTTCTGTGATTTGGGAATTGAAGCTGTGGATAGTTCTTCCCATTAACATTTCACAAAATAAATGGTGAGATGTCTGCAGTGGGCTTTCATCTTCCCCCAGTGTTATATTCTGCCTGCCTTAGTCCAACCCTTTGGTGAAGTTCATCTAATTTTTTTCACCCTCTCTGTGTCTAGATTTCTCTAATCCAGCCTACACTTCATTCTAAATCACAGCTCTGGTTGAAACAGTCTCTTGTTTCTGTGCTAATAAATCACAAATCTTCCCCTGCCACCCCCATCCCCCCACCCCTGCTGCCCCAGTTCCTGTCTAAATCCAAACTCTGTGCATAATTTAAGGAGGTTTTCATTATTTTGACTCAACCTCCCCCATTCCCAAATCTTTCCTAAACAGGCCTTGTATTTCCCTTTATCATTCTTTACTTTGAGATCCTTCCAGCCTTTATTTTTCTTTTCGACTAAAGTGCTTTGATACCTGTCCTGTATCAAGAGGACAGTCCATCCTTTTTGTAACACTTAATTCTTTATTCACGTGTTGATTCATTCAACGATTTATACTGAGTGCCAATTCTGTTCCAGGCACCTTGCCAAGCTTATCCTAGCCTGCCTCCTATCAGAACTCTCTGCATTCCCGATTGTCTTGGTGCTGAGTCATTACTTTCTGGGAAATGGTACAGAACATGCTCTTACACACCTTTTTTTGGTTCCCTAGCCTCCCAAAGTATTATGTTGACTGAATTTAAAGTGAAACTGTAAATGCCAGGAGCATATGAATTGTTTCAATTAATGGAATGGAGCAATTGGGGTCTGTTGAAATCCTGCCTTTCAGTATCCTCATGCAGAAAGCCAAGTTTTATCACCATTTTATTCCAAATTTTCAGTATCATATCCAGGCTATATTTTCCAAACTTTCATGCTTTGTCATTTATAACTCAGTTTACATTTGTGTGTTATGAGTTTTCTGAGTGAAAACTAAAAGTAGTAAATGAATTAATGAGATGGGAAAAGATTCTTTAGTACTCTTATTTTTTTCTTTAGCACATTTATTTGCGAATGGACAAGTCTGGAATTTATTTTTTTTTTTCTGTTCAAAACAGAGAAATTTTATTTTTTTATGTGCTAGAATGTATATTTTATAATATTAATATTTTGCATATTACGTATTTGTATACAAATATACAAATAACTGTATATTATAACATTAACATCCATATTATGTAATAGTAATATTTTAATTAATATTAAATTTCCAATTTAGCTTAATATAGTTTTGTTTTTTTTTTTTAAATATTAAATTTTATTTTTATATTCCCCCATACAACAAGTCTGGAATTTAAGGAAAGTGTATTGGCATTTTTAGGTGAAATAGAAAATTATGGTTTGTATATTTTGTTTCTTTTTAAAAAGAACATTCAGGTGGCCTTTGTGGAATGTGCCATTCAGGAGAATCTTGTAAATGTCATCTTTGAACTTGTTTCCTCTCTAACATTTGCTCCCTTCAACACTCAACTACTTTTTTCTTACTTTGCTCACCGACCTCCTTATAGCTTTCATGGAGGAAAGGAACTGTCAGATCAGGGGCTGAAGATATGCTTTTGAAGCAACACTACTTGTTTCATCTGAGAGAGCCACTTCAGTCCCTCCTTATCCTTCCTAAAGCAAGTAGTTCTCTGTTCATTGCAAACAGGGTTTAAAGTCAATTGAATAAGCTTTGGCCTCTGTGGTGTGACACTCTAGAAAAATATGTCAGATTGTCTTTAATCCATTAATTTCTTATTATTGGAAAATGATTTCCAAAGAGTCTTGGTGAACAGACGAAGCATTTTAGTGATTACATCTTCAGCATTCTACAGTGAATGTTTTATCCTTGTACGTCTGTGAAGCCCAGTCATTGTTCATGGCTTAAATAAGTTTGAACCAATATGGTTAATACTTTCCCCTACCCCAGCCCCTTGCATTGTACTCTAACTCGAGTGCTGAGTTGAGCATGAAAAATGAATTTGAACATTAGTGGACTCCATTTGGGAACTGGGGCTTTGATTGTAAATAAAATTATTCACTTGTTATGTCCTGTTGTCAGCAGACAGTGTATTGATCTTTGGGTTGCTATTCAGAATGACATACAGGAGCTCTAACACAAAGGGGACATGGTAACATTTATGGATGGGTTGGATGCAATGTGTAATGACAGAGACAAACCTGTTTGCTGGACTTACTATATTATACAAATCATTTGTCAACAGTTTATAAACAGCAGATTTTTTTCAAACAGGAGCATTACAAACAGAAAGTTATCAGGAAGAAATAATATGATGATGATGATGATGCATTGACAACATCTTTATAAAGTATATTTGTGAAGAATTAGACTAGGTAACTTAAGGTCATTTATGCTGACAGAAACAAAAGTTTGGTACAATGGAAAGTGTGCTTTAAGATTCAACTTCAATAGATTTAAAGATTAAAAAAATGCCATTGAATATAAAAACTTACCTTACCCCAGATTGTAAGGGATATGTTCCTATATGGCTTTTATTATTGATATGTTTCTTTTATCTCAAGTTTTTCAAAGACCTTCATAAATGGATGTTGAACTTTATCAAACACTTTCTTAGCATTCATTGATATGATCATGTGGTTTTTCTTTTTGTTGATGTGGTGAGTTATGTTAGTTGATTTTTGGATAAGTTTTCTCTATTTTTAGACCATTGCCAAATTACGTACTCCTGAAATGAATGAAAATGTAATAAAAATAGCTTCATTACTTATCAGGGCTTTTTACAGAAT